GAAATTTGCTTCGTCTATCCAAAGTTAACGAAGCAACATTTCATGTGGCTTTGGAGGAATGAAATCAGAGCAGCATTATACCATATAATCCAGCCTTACATCAACTCAATAAGCAGAGAAGGCGGGGTCTTGAAAATGTCAATGGTAACTGTTAGCCCTTTGTTGGTCATTGTGCATTTACTGGGCCAACTAAGCTAGCTTGGCTTTCTTGGGGCATTTAAGGATCTTCTTTGAGGGCTTTGTCCGATTTTATATTGCACACGGGATTTAGTGGGAAAATGGTAACAGGACTCCTAAAATAAAAAATAAACTAAATCTACATATTTGTATTTGTATTCAAACTACAAGGAATGCTAAGGAACATCCTATAACTACTTCACATAATTTCCTGTAGATGGGTTCACCACTTCTCATTTAATCCCATAAATCACAATGGAACATATTTTCAGGCCATTACAATCCTACTACAATTACAACTGTAAAATCAATTCGCAAACTGAAAATTGAGATGGAGTAGGGGAAGAAAAGCGACAGAAAAACGAGTGAAAGTAGAGAGTGCATTTCCTTTTGACTATGCCAATAGCCTGCAGCTGTCGGGAGAAACCAAATGGCTCGTCAGTGCCAAAAACCACAAAAACATGGTGAGGAGGGAAAACAGTAGAATGCAGCAGCATCGAACGGGGAAATTCCCGCAAAAGTGAAGGAAAAGCGAAAGGAAAAGCAGAGGAACCAACAAGGGAAATGGATCAATGTCGAATGTCTGCCAAGTGGATGGTAATTTAAGAGAGGCTTATGCTTCCAATTGTAATTGGGATTGAGATTCGGTGAAATTCAAATGAACGGAAGCAGCTTAAGGGATAGACATGATTAAATTATAATAATTTGGTCGGGGTAAGGTTTAATAAATCTAAGGATGAGTGATATATGTAAATGAGTAAATTAATAAACATATGTGATATTATAATGAAAAATTAAGTAGCGTTCTCCAGAATCTTTCAAGTAAATCAACTATAACTTATTTTAAATACCCTTTACCTATTTAAACCTACTTTAACAATGTTGTAGTTCCTATGAAACCGAAAATTCCACTCATCCTCTAAAGCACATGATACATCCAGGTAAGGTATTCCTAATTAAAACAACATTTCCCCAGCCCGTAATTACTGCGTTGTAATTAATACATTTCTAATTTCCCATGCATTGTCTGCAGCCACATTTAAAATAGCTACGCAATGGTATTTCATTTCACTTCCACAGTTTTCCCCCCAGCTGCCCGTATTTATTAACTGATTTCAATGTCGATAAGGCCCAATGGAATGTCCAATGTCCAAATTTGCACACATGTGTGTATATATATTACAGACCCAAATCCAGTTGCAAATTGCAACATATTTGCATTCGCCACTTGCAACATTTACGATCGACTAAAGCACTCACTCAATCATCGCTGGGGGACAAAAACAAATACAAACAGCAACCAAAAAATACGACAAAAATGGGGGAAAATGCCGCAGAAGGGAAAGCGGAAAAGCGGGAAAATGGGTGAGTGTAAGGGTGAAAGTCATCGATTGCGTGCAGCGTTAAATGTCAGCCCGCAGCCAATTGCAGATGTCAACACGTGCACAGGGAAAAACAAGAAGGGATACAAAAAACACACGCACACAATTTGAGCCTAAAGTTGGCAGACATTTTCACGACTGAGTGAATGATGGAAAATGCTTTGATTTATGCACGTTTTTCCGGCTGTTCATTGCGTGTCCAAAGCGTTCAATTGCAAAATGCCAAAACTGTCCGATGATTTCATTTCAGAGCAGAGCATCTCCTACCATTAAATTCATTGTGCTGCCTGTCAATCGCATTAATTTATAATTATTAACCGCGCAGACACATTCCTCCCCACACAAAGGCCAACTAATTAAGCAAGGCAATTATCTTGAGCAGCGACTAAGTCGTCGCACGAACCACTTGAATCTCCAATTAGGGGCGTGGCACATCCACAATCTGTCTAATCCCATCGAGGGTCCAAGGTGATTTGTCCACATCTCACGATTTGCCTATTACCCAACCACCCATTCTGTATCTTTTCCTACTGTTTGCACTTTGAATTAATTAAGCTGAATTGGATTTGAGTGAGTGTGTTTCTTTTTGTCCTTTTGATTGCAAGATGTTTAATGCAATGTAAACAGAAATAAATAAAGCTTTTGGGCGGCTGCCACACAATCTGCTTTCTCCTAAGCCCCTCCCACACTATGTTATATAATACGCTTTCCCGATGCTGATAAGATGGCGAGCAGAATACAAAAGAATCGGGGGAGCTAAAGGAAAAGGTCCAGCGAAGGCAAGCCGATCTTAGGATACTCTTCAACCGAAACTTGAAAGTAAAAAATTCCAAAAGATACTTTTTAAAATACATTTATTTCTGATACTAAATATTATTATTAACAATATTACAATCCAAAATATACTACCCATTAAATTTAGAATATTATATACTGTTTACATTTTACAATTAATCTGTAATATATCAGTATTAATATTATTAATAGTACAATCCTTTATGTAGTACCCACTATATTAACTACATTATAAAATATTTGTATATAGTTATACTTAAGAATTAATATACCGTCAACTAGGGCATTAAAAACAAAGCCAGACTACAGACATAAATATTAGCAGGCACATCCGAGGGGATTGTATTGCGCCTTCAAAAAAAGTTATCCGACGCAATCAAACAAGCGTTCTTAAAATAAAAACTTTCCGAATTTTCGTCAAATAAAATGCACATCATCAGTGGAAAACAAAAAGTTATGCCATTCCCAAAGAATGTGTCAATAAATTAAAAGCCGCATAAGGAAGATACCTCCTCAGAACCATCCTAACTAAAAAATCCCCGATTTATTCGCTCCTTTGCAAATATTTGCTCCTTTTGGGGTGAACGCGTGTGTGTACGGGGCCCGATAAATTTTCAAAATTTATTTGAGGCGGCCTGTGGCTGCATTTGAAGTGGTAACCATTACCAATGCCATGATGATGATGCCCCAGTCCGCTTTTCGTATGTACACATTTGCATGGCAAATTTACTGAATTTCTTTTATTTCGTTTTTACATTTTATTCGCTTAATGTTTTATTCATGCGACCCCACAAAATCCCATTAACAAATTTACACATTTTCAATATTGAAAATGTGCTTTACTTTTTGAATAATAAAAACAAACCAAGCAAAATCCAAAAAAATAACCAGAGAAAATTAAGCAATGTAAACAAAGATATTTGCCGAAAAACTTAACTTTTTCACATGCTTGAGGCACTTGTTTAAAATCTATTTTTGAGTTTTTGTGGCTGCTGTTCTATGCGCACATTTATTTGGTATTTAATTATTTTAATCGAACAAAATACACAAACACTTGGTTTCCTCTGTTTTGGATTTTTCCCTTTAAGGCCAAAGACAGTGTGAAAGCTTCTTAGCCTTACTCAGTTGAGTGATAAGCGGCGCATTAGTGGGGAAAATTTATGGCCAACTTTCATGAGCCGAGCTGCTAATGCTGGGATTTCACAGAGATTTCTAATGGGATTGCTGTCGCGGTTTCAAAGATTGTGTTTCTTGTAATTCAGGGGGTAGGGCGTTACTTACACATAACATTCAGCGGTTAAGGTGTTACGTTCATACAATATTCAGGAGTTAAGGTGTTACGTTCACATAATATGTGGGAGTCACGTTTGGTTACAACATGGAAATAAAACATAATACAGGGGAATTCTTGGAAAGGTGCCATGCAATACTAACCAGAGAGAAAAAAGGCTATAGAAATAAAATGATTGTAAAACCGTGTAAGGATATTTTCCTAGGAATAAAATCCTTTTTCTTCCTTTTGATTCCCTGATTTTTAATTAATTTTAGTCGGTGATAAAATAACAAATTTAACAAGTACCACATTTTAATCCTGAAAAACCCCAGCCAGCTTTAAGTTTTTACATCTGAATCAACACACTGGCAGCGTTCAACTTCACCTTCAGTCTTACCTTTCAAATTAAGCTCAAAAATTCTGTGAGTTGCCTCTGGAGACCCTGTAGCAATTGCATAATGGACCGTCTGTGTCCCTTTGATATGACCCCAAGATTAGAGAACGAGCACACACAATGGCGTTCATGGGGCGTATGATTAATAAACACTTTTAGTTTTCATTCCGGGCAAACAGAAAACCTTTTCCAGAGTCATAACAATTAACTTTAAAGGTTTAGACATAAATCCTTGCACAATTGTAGTCCTCAAAAAACATACATGTGTATAATAGAACACGAAGAAAAGGCAGAAAGTGAAAAGTAAAAGATGAATAATGAATGAGCCGCACGCGAGCAGAAGAAAACCAGGTGGATTGAGGGGGCGGGAAAAGGGGGAAAAGCTCGGTGGCCATGCATGAGTAACACTTGACATTGCCTGGCCGAGGAAAATGGAAAATGGGAAAGGGGAAGCCTACACCCACCCATCCACACACGCACTTCGCCCGAAGGGCAGCCGAAGGAAGCTCGTTTCTAGTGAATTATAATATGGCATGCAGATAAAACATTGAAAGTCAAAAGGCCCTGGGGGAACTACAATTAAGACTAGTACTTGCCACCCTTTCCCTAGAACCCACCCACAGATGAGAGGGAAAACACGGCAGTTTCAACATTGCCGGAAATCATTTCCATATGTATGTTTATGATGCTTTGTAGATAACTGCAAGAGCTGGCGAAAAGTTTACTCGGCATCAGCCATATCACAAAAAACAAAGCCGAAATTCTGCTTTGGCCAAAAGGAATGGAATTTCGGGAGGGGGACAAAAACCACAGGCAAGAAAAGCTGGCCAAAAAGAAAAACAATTCAACAGTTTGTTGCCAGCAACATGTTGCCAACGCGGCCCCGGGTAAAATTCGCTCTCACTCTCCCACGCTCTCTCCGTGTTGGGTTTTCCACTTTGATAAAAGCAAAAGACCTGGCCAAAACCGAAACAGTCTGCAAAGGATTCTAGGCGCTAACGGTTCTCCAGAGAAACATCCCGTCAAGATCTACCAACGGCAATCGTCGCGTGCGTTTTAAAATAATTTGTTACCCGTCGAAAGTCACCTGAAAAAACGGTCAAGCGAAGTGAATTTTAATTTTTGGAAAATTATTTATTCCAAAAGCAAGAAGCAGTTATAAAAAGTAAATATTACAAGCCGTTTATTTGAAATATTTATAATGTGGAAAACACCTTTGAACTATATTGGTTAAGAACGGAAGTATATTTAAAAATAATTTGAATTATGGAAGAATGTAGAGAGATTTGAGAACTTTATTTAAGAAACTATAGAAATTTTTAAAATTTAAAACTTTACTTTGTTGTACAAATAAATAAATAGTAAAGTGTTTCTACTCGGATTTTATTTAGAAGGGTATTATGATTAGTGTTGCACAGTTCATTAATGTTGTGATTATAATTTTTAAAAATTCGTTTTTTACCAAAGTATTATTTGAAAAATGGATTTTACAAAATTACTTAGGTTTCAATTCTTCTTAAACAGGGCTTTGAGATTTTATTAAAACTGTAAAATAAAATGATCAAAAAACACTTCTCTAATTTTAAACATGATTCAAGGACCTTCATTATTCTAGAACCAAATATGTTATTTCGACCTATAAAGAAATAATAAAGTCCTTTACATTCAACACGTACTACATTTCTGGGGGATTTATTTTTATGAACCGTTTAATATTTACAAACCACATTCTAAAAACAGGACCATTTTGGGCTTTTCGACCGCTTTTCCAATCATTTTATTCAAATTTTATAATTTATGCTAAAAGCCTTTTAAATCTGGCCTAAACTAGCCTAAGCCACCAAAATCCAGACCCGACAAACTCAGAGCAGATTTTCCAGTTAGCCAAAAAAGCTCAATTTGCAATGGTTTCCAAAGAGGTGGAAAATTGGTTTGAAGAGGTCGCCGAAAGAGGAAAGCAACAGGGAAAAATGTTTCGGCATTTATATTCAACCCGCCGACAGCTTAAAGCGTGTCAAATAGCTGAATTATTTTTTCTTTTCTGTCAGGGTCGAAGAGCAAAACCTTTTTGTGATAATTTTTGGAAGAAGCCTGCATTCAATTAAGCGAAAAGGGAAAGGCTGCCCTCACTGGTATGCCAAATGGCAGCCGCAGAAGTTGACAGTGAAATGCCGTCGCCGTGTGTCCTTGACTTTGCCTATTCATACGCAAAATTAAACACCATGGTGGCAAATAATGAGCGGGAATGGGTTGGAATGCCATGGTAATGGCATACACTACACTGTGGCAATGGCATGTGGATTGGGCTGTGGATGGGGCAGCGTGCCAGCATTTACGAGTCCCCCTAATTTATGCTCATTCATAAATCTCCCTCGGTGGAAATCTCTTGCATTTGCCGACGCTGCCGTCGCCGTCGCCTGAATGTATGCAACACAATATAATAAAGCAAATTGAAAATTATGACCATATCAAGGACGTCTAGGAGGCGCCGAGGTTCCAAATACCCTTGAACTAAGCAGGGACACATTATAACATATACCTAAGGACAAGCTTTGTGGGAGTTTATATTCCAATCTGTTTTGAGGGTGGATGAGACCCTTTTTAACAAAACAAATTTAAATTGGTTCGGAAATCTTTATCTAAGGACAGCATTTTTATAAAAAATGTACATATACCCAAGGACAAGCTTTGCAGGAGCTCCCTTTCCAATCAATTTTAAGGGTTATTGAGACAAACCCAAACCATCATGTCTGATCAAACCTGAGTAAACCCCTACAGACCTTATAGGTTATAACACAAAATATTGAAAAAGGTTTGGATAACTTAATCTACAGATACCCATCTTATAAGAAATGTAAAAGAACCCAATCAAGCCTATAACCAATAATATTTATTTTATAAAAAGAAAAATGTTTGCTTTTGATGAACTTTAAGGACCATATTTATAGTATTGATTTTTAAATATATATGGCTGAAAATAAGTTGTGGAAAGATATTATATGTTGCTACAAACTCATATTTTCAAATTTAACAGAAAATAAACCAAAAAAGGTTTAATAATTACAACAAATAGCAAACATCAAAATAAATAACTAAGTTTACTGGTTTTATCAACAAGAATTCCCTGCCTTAATTTACTCTCTCGTGCACATTCTTATTGTACAAAGAATTTCATAGATTTATGACAATTATGCTGCACAACCTTTTATGTATTCTGCAACCTAAAGGGAGCTGTCTAGAATAATTGAGAAATATCTAAAAATATTTCGACCCTATACTGAGTTCCCTTGAATTTTTCAGTACATTGTGTTGTCTGCCAAGTGCCAAATTGGCTAATTAGATGACATATGTATGTACCAATTTAAACTTGCGCGAGCCGGATTGTCTACCATTTTATAAAATTGCTTAATGGCTAATTACATTCTTTGTTTAAGACAAAATCAAGCGATTAAATTCTTGTTTAAATAATTTAAAATACTAATTTCCTGTCTTGCAATGTTTCGAGAGACCCGTGCTTTTGTTTGCGTTTTTCTTGATTTGAACGGGGCGCATGGTGCACGCTCTCGGGCAGCGTAAATAAATAGGAATATCAAAACCGAAGAATTATCAAAATAAATACGTTTGTCAGGCCAGAATGAAGGCCTTGTTTGCATTCCACCGCCCGCCTTCTCGGCCATTAAATGGGTTTGGGAAGGAAGTTGGTTATAAATAGACGGCTATTTGCCAAAGGATGGGTGATTAAGCGGAAGGCAAACACTGGTTAAATACGGCGACGTCATTTGACAGACCCAGAGATGAGCAATGATTGCCATTAATTTGAATTAATTTCACACTATCCAGCGGCGCAAGATTGATGGGTTATTTGCAATTCAAATTGTGTGGGCTTTTGCATTATAAATTGGAAACAATGATGTAATCTTTTCCCTGCCAACATAAATATGGGCTCTCTGAATTTCCAGTATCTTTGGGAAAATTCGTAGAACAAAGCTTCCGGTAATTGTTTTTCTGTTTCAAAGAAATCCGTTTTTCACAAAAGTAATTATGGAATATTTTGATAAAATGCGTGGTTTTTAAAATTCGTTCTTAGAATAAATAATCTTTATAATACAAAAATAAATATAAATAGTAAAGATGGCTACGTGATTATATATTTTTTTAAAAGGAAAGAGAACCAGAATACTTTTGATCTTTTTTTGGTTATGTTCAATACTTTTTTTTTAATGTTCCTTTACACTTAAGCGTAACATTTCCTACAGCTAAGTGCTATTAATTTCCGCACTTAAATCTCAGGACCCACTCTCTATTCAGAAATGTCCTGTCAAAAGTAAAATACCCAGTTTCCCCCACAGGTATTGGCCGTAATTATCTTTGAACAATGTCAAAAACCAAAAGTGCCATTAAAAAGCATTCGCGCCTAGCCGCAATAATTATTGTAATTACGAGGCGTTTTTGCGGAAAAGTTCTCGAGGTGCTTGAAATCCCCGCAGGGCCTGTCAAATATGTATTTTGTCCGAGCAAACAATCCAAGAAGTGGAGCAGATCCCCCGGCAATCAGCATAATTTTCCTCTTGTTGTTTCTCACATTTTTCCAAATTGACTCGGGCCTGAAATCTTTCCACACGCCGACTTCCAGCTGGTTAATTACAGCTATTGGACCCCGGGCCCATTATTATTTATTATTATTATTATTTTTTCTTGATTATTATTTACGCACAAGGAGCGTAAAAAGGGGCCTCTATTAGCTATGTAAATATTTACATCATCTCTTGAGGTTTTTCGGCAGCAATTACGCGTTACGTCACCAAACCGAATAAACATTCAGGAAGCCTTTAAAAAGCGGTGAAGTAAATATTCAGGTGGGGAAAATATACATATGTATACAGCCATACGAACGCAGTCTGCATTTATTATGATCTTTTTATGGTTCTGCTTTTTCCTGAGTTTCATGAAAAACAAAAGAAATTCACTAAAGAAAAACATATGACGCAGGTTTTTTTGTCGGAATTTCTGGCTTGTTTGTCCGGTCTCCATTTTCACGGTTTTCTTTTGTCGGTTCTTTATTATAACAGGTGATATAAATGCAATTCCAGAAATTGGGCGCACTCCCCTTTTGAAAGTTTGATATAGATTGGCAGGACTTCAAACTCTATTTTGTTATTTATAGCTTTTGATTTCTGAATCCTTTCCGACCCTCACAACTGTCATGTCCTGGCTTCTAGTGACAATTTCCAAATTGAGTGACAGGCATATCCATTACGATGTGCCTGTACTGGAAATGGTTAACAACGCCAGTTTTTCCGGTGATTTGTACTTTCATTTATGGCATATCAATTTTAATGTATCATAATGTGACAGAAAATGGGAATTTCATTACAAAATAAGCAAGCCCTTAGATTCAATTTTTATTTCGAAAAGGAATCCTTTCCAAGCTAACTTGTCACATACAATACAATCAGTACGGACCATAATTAATCTATTCTCCCATTTTATTGCTTCTGGAAAACAATAGATCAAAGTCAGAATCCGTTTGCATGTAAAAGAATCGAAAGCTTTAATTCACAGCTGACGGGGACTAATAACAATCCATAAAAACGACCACATGGGGAGTTTTCATCGCACGACATCGGTTTCCTCTCTGCCCATTGGGAATTTAATTAAAACTGTCTAAAGCGCAGCGGGTGTCAGTCGCCGGACAAAGAAAAAAGCGTGTTGTCATGCATGAAACCATTATTCCTTAGATTTTCATTCATGGCCGAGTATTTTTCAATATAAATTCACCAGAACCCAATGGTTAACCAGAGTTGGCCAAGCTAATTACGGCACCGCGGTGACCAATATAATGTAATTAAACTTTGGCCAGCAAAAAATGGCCAGAAAAAGAGTGTAGGAAAAGCTTAAAAGGAAACAACTGCAAAATAGTTTCCCTCCGGCCCTGCGAATTTTCACACATTTTCTTTCGCACGCAGCGCTGGCTGCGAGGAAAAAGAAAAATACAAATGAAAAATAAAATACACAAAAGCTTTCAAGCAGGAGGCACATCAACAACACATCGTAAACAATTCTTGGCCAGCCCAACATGACAAAAAAAACGTTTTTGCAGTTAGAACAAGGCTGAACCTATAGTCAAGTGCCTCGACTATCAGATACCCTCAGCTTAAGGTAGTG